GAACCTCAGCCGAGCACTGTCTGAAACCACCCGGCAATATACACCCTCCTGTGTGTTCCTGATGGGAGCTCTTACAAGCTGGCATGAAGTGACTGGGGAAAGCTAAGGTCAGACCAAGAAGGGAAGGATGCCTCAGAATGAATTCTGTCTTTGTATGAGTTAAAGGTTTGTCTTAATGTGTGGTTGCTGGTTTGTTATCCTTTTGTGGGGTGTGAGAGGGAGGCAGGGTGGTGCCCAGACCACGTCTGTACAGTCAGGTGACGTAGGACATGCTCTGGGCCACTGCACAACACCTCTGGCCTGGATGCCAGGTGGGTGGGTAGGTGGCAGGTGGACCCATGGAGCCTTAAGTTGGACAGATGATCTGCAGATGCAAACCAGTGATTAAGAACAAGCCACTGAACCCAGGCCTGCCCCAAGGAATCATCTGAGTGGAGTTTGGTTTTGCCATCTGTGCACCTCCTCTCTCTGATTCCTGCTGTCATACCCTCTAACCCCAGGGTTTTTTAAACCTCCAGGTTTGTCTTCTCTAGAGAGCTTCTCACATCTCAGGTTACACTCCTTTCCTCACCCGCCACTCACCTGCTATTTTCTTTATGGCCTGATCACAGTCATTGTCATGAGGACCCTAAGCTCACACACGACGTCACACCGAACCCCATCTCAGAGCCATCTCCCGGGGCGACTCCTGGCAGTGAGCAGACGCATGCTCACTCCAGGCAGGTCACCCTTCCTAGGATCCCTCAGATCGGACCATTTAGGTGACTGATTTTACCTTCATGGAAACTGTTCAAAGGCGTGTTGCAAAACAGCGCACAAGTATAGCCAGTCATGAATGAAATAAAAGATTCAGGTAGATGCTCAGGGACTGATTGGGCTTTGTTTCTAAAAGAAAAAAAAAGCTGTACATTTTTGGTCCACTCAAGTAAAGGTTCAGGTTAAAAATACACTTATTGGCCGGGCGAGGTGGCTCACGCCTGTAATCCTAGTTCTCTGGGAGGCCGAGGCAGGCGGATCGTTTGAGTTCAGGAGTTCAAAACCAACCTGAGCAAGAGTGAGACCCCGTCTCTACTATAAATAGAAAGAAATTAATTGGCCAACTAATATATATACAAAAAAAAAAATTAGCCGGGCATGGTGGCACATGCCTGTAGTCCCAGCTACTCGGGAGACTGAGGCTGTGAGCTAGGCTGACGCCATGGCACTCACTCTAGCCTGGGCAGCAAAGTGAGACTCTGTCTCAAAAAAAAAAAAATACACTTATTGGAAAACAAAGGCCAAATCACTGAGAGAAAATAAGTTGATTTTTTTCAACTTGCCTCGTATACAGAAACTGCGTCCGATTGCATGTGGAGATCTGCTCATTTTGCTGTCTTCTGACTCTGCAGAAGGCGGCTGACCCTCCCAGCCTTGGTTCCTTGCCTGCGAGAGGACTGTCTCCTAGGACCTGCTGCTGCTCCGTGGACTCCACTCCCTTCAGCCACACACGGCTGTGAGGTTGGACCTGTCTCCCTCTTTGTTTTTAAAGCTTCTATTTTTCATTAACTCTCTTTTGCCTTTGCCTAGACTCCCAGCTTTCCTCCCGTGTCACCTTCGGATTGGTCCTTCTGCCATGCCCTTCAAGGAAAGAAGTTGTCAAGCATCCACCCTCTAATTATACCTACTCCCTCTGGCTGTTGAGCCTTTCCTTATTTTTTTCCACTTACCACATCCTTATTAGCCATCACTACAGTCCAATATAGAAGTGTTTTATTTGCACAGGACGAAGAAACAGTAATTAACCTGGCCAATGTCTCCTATAGATTGCCAAGTATTCATACTTGGTTGCAAGTATGATAATTATTGTTTTCGCTTTGACCTTGACTTTATTACAAAATATTCTGGACACTAAACACAACTATAAATGTAGTTGAGATTTCTTTTTTGGCAATAACTTTCAAAATGGGGGGGAAACAATATGAAAGTAACAATAAACATTATCTGGCACATCAGATCCCACCCATGCAAGATAAACTACTACAGGAATTATCTTCTTGCAATAAAAACAGAAAACTAGAAAACAAACAAAATAAATGAATGGATATTTGCGGAGATTGAGCAACAGGCGGCGCAAGAAAGCAACCCCTGGGACAAGGGAAACAAATAAGGGAAGGCCCACGGCTGCTGCAGCTCACCTCCCAGAGGCAGCACGATGCCACAGCACAGGGAAGAGAACCCAAAGGGATCCCCGAGGTCTCACTGAGTTGAGAGAAAAACACTACACAGTTGACCCTTGAACAATACAGGTTAGAACTGCAGGTATGCACTTATATGTGGATTTTCTTCCACCACTGCCACCCCTGAGACACCAAGAACAATCCTTCCTCTTCTTCCTCTTCCTCAGCCTACCCAATGTGAAGACCATGGGGATGAAGACCTTTATGATGATCCACTTCCACTTAATGAACCATAAATATATTTTCTCTTCCTTATGATTTTTTTTTTTTTTTTGAGACAGAGTCTGGCTCTTTTGCCTGGGCTAGAGTGCCGTGACCTCAGTCTAGCTCACAGCAACCTCAAACTCCTGGGCTCAAGCGATCCTCCTGCCTCAGCCTCCCTAGTAGCTGGGACTACAGGCATGTGCCTCCATTCCCGGCTAATTTTTTTCTATATATTTTTAGTTGTCCAGCTAATTTCTTTCTATTTTTAATAGAGATGGGGTCTTGCTCTTGCTCACGCTGGTCTGAATTCTTGACCTCAAGCAATCCTCCCACCTCGGCCTCCCAGAGTGCTAGGATTACAAGCGTGAGCCACTGTGCCTGGCCATGATTTTCTTAATAATACTTCTTTTCTCTATTGTAAGACTACAGCAAGAATACAATACATAAAACCTACAAAATATAGGTCAATTAACTGTTTGTTATGAGTATGGCTTCCAGTCAACAGTAGGCTATTAGTAGTTAAATTTGGGGGGAGTTAAAAGTGATATGTGGATTTTGAACTGCATGGGGTGGGAGTGTCAGCATCCCAACTGTCACACTTTTCAAGGGTCAACTGTAGTTTGAGAATGCCAAGACAACTAGCGTCCACAAAGCAGAGTAGAAAAGGGAAAGGACCTGCAAAAAGAGAGTGCTTCAGAAATCTGCAGAGAAGTCCCCTTGAGTATTTGGGAACTGACTAGTATATTTACAGAATGAAATCCCACTAGGCATAAGAAAGAAACACCAGAAAACAACAGGCAAAACACAACTTCCAGAACTCACAAAGGCAGATAGAGAGACTTCACAATTCCCAGGACACAGGTTAGAGTTCTCAAAAGAGTCATACTTTAAAAAGGGGGTTAAAGTGGTTCTAGAATAAAGGCTGCCTTGTACCTACCCAAACAAAACTTTACAACCAATCTACAAAAATATCTGCAGGGAACTTAACTGCTTGCCAAACAAAGTGCAATGCTCTTTAAAGGAATACAACAAAATCCAGAATCCAACAATGTAAAATTTACAAATATATACTCTAAATACACTGAGGGAGATTAACGGGAGATTAAGCACTGCAAAAAAAAATTTTGGTTAACTTAAACAAATAGCAATGTATCCAAAGTGAAGCACAAAGAGAAAAACACTGAAAAAGAATGAGAGGCCCATCAGGCGGGGCGTGGTGGCTCACTCCCGTAATCCTAGCATTTTGGGAGGCCGAGGCGGGCGGATTGCTCAAGGTCAGGAGTTCTAAACCAGCCTGAGCGAGACCCCGTCTCTACCAAAAATAGAAATAAATTAATGGACCAACTAAAAATATATATACAAAAAATTAGCCAGGCATGGTAGCGCATGCCTGTAGTCCCAGCTACT